GAGTAGCGAAAACGATTTTGTTAATAGGAGCAGCAATAATGATGTCTCAAATAATGCAGGTTACTGAATTGTCATTGTATTAGTGTGTAGCAGTTGTAGAGGTTGTAGTAGCGTTCCTTGTAGCAGTTGTAGAGGTTGTAGTAGTCTTCGTTGTTGCAATCGTAGAGGCTGTGGTGGTAATAATTTTTGCTGCAGTAGTGATATTTAATTTGGTTGTTGCAGATCAAGAGTTGCAAAAGTTGCAGTAGTAGTTAAATAGTTATGCAGCAGGATAAGTAACATAAAATGTAGTAGAAGTGACAGTGCCACTTAATGGTTGTATGGATAGTTGTAGTAACAGTTGTGATAGCAATCGTGAAAGCAAAAGTAGTGGTAATTGTTGTCTGTGGTATGAAATAGTTGTAGTTATATCAGCAGCAGCAACCGTAGTAGTAGTAATAGTGGCCACGGGTAGCCATAATAACTGTATTAATACTATGTAGTAGCAGAGGTTAGTTGTAGCAGAAGTATTAGCCGAAGTAGTAGTGGTAAAAACTGTCGGATGTCATTGTTATCATACAAAATCATCTCGAACCATTTGCAAACGTCCTACTCGGCAGTGCGATCACTAACAAGATCGCATAATCATCATTAACACTGCTCTTTTTTCAAAGTAAGTTCTTTTCCAGGTTTTCTTCTCCCCTCTACCGAGATTTTTTTTCGATTTCGTCTCAGATTTCAATAAATCTCATTTTGTTTCAATTATTTTGGACCGACAATTGCCATGAATGGTGCTTTCATTCGCAGGTATTTTTATGCGCCGCGTGGTTTGTGACTGAGAAATACTGTTAAAAAATATCTTATATAACATAGCAAGTAGCAGAAGCAATAAATAATTTGAACTACAAATACAATAACGGCAATTGTTGTTGTTCTCGTAGCTTAGGTGAACTGAACATGTAGATGGAAATTATTGAAACGGCTCGTTCATACAAATCTGGGTTGGCAAGTTAGTCTGAAAAACAAATCAATTACATAGAGGAGTAAATTTATTTGTGTGATGCTAACATGTGAATCTTGTTCATTTGCATGTGAGTTTGTGCATTCGATTGTGCTTCCTCGTGTGATATTTGTACGTGCGCATGTGTTTATTAGAGGTAGTATGTATTTTTAATATGTCTGTTCTTTGGTCCTCTTCTATTTATACTCTATACCTCTGAATTAACTCGTATTATAA